TCATGAGTGTTTTTTCTTGTTTTCTTTCTTTGAATTGATTGCTTTCGATGGAATAGAATTAAGATTTATAATTCTCAATACATAAACATATAAAAAGTATTAATCACGACTTGACATAAGTGGTAGTGCCTACTGCAAATCTGAACGCTGTCTATATCGTGGAGTTTGAATGCTTTATTGGCTGTTCATGAGTGTTTTTTCTTGTTTTCTTTCTTTGAATTGATTGCTTTCGATGGAATAGAATTAAGATTTATAATTCTCAATACATAAACATATAAAAAGTATTAATCACGACTTGACATAAGCGGTAGTGCCTACTGCAAATCTGAACGCAATCTATATCATGGAGTTTGAATGCTTTATTGGCTGTTTAGAAGAAATAATGTGAAACAATAAAGGGGATGAATATTACATCTTTGAAGATTATTCTTTTCCTTTGATCTTCTCTTATAAGGCTTCGGGAGAAAATTCGACGCAAGACATGCAAGAAGAATGTGCCCCAAATATGGACATGGAAAGGGAAGACTTTATTCCTCGTTATTTTTGGCTTTTATTTTAGGCATGTTCACCATACGCGAAGCTTCATTATATTACTCAACTGGAATAATTGTTTCAGAGAAATAATGAACCCACTTTCTTCAACACGAAAATCATAACTGCAATTATTAAAGTCCTACACATTTGTGTATTAATTATCATGGTATTTCAGTAAATCCTCGTCTCTTGGGCAACAGCGTAAACCTGCAAACGAGCCATTGACTAGGTCGTCCTTGTTGTCACATATGGCACCTTGTCTGGTAATTTTGGTTAATACGGCGCCCTGTCAGTTGGAATTCTCATTAGATAGCTTAAATTTTCATTCAATTTTTTGAGGCATCTAATCTCCAACTTTTCAGAAATAGACAACTGGATCATCTTTGCCGTCGTGCATCCTGTCTAGTAATTCCTATACACAAAAGCACAAGTATCACAACTTTTGTATATTGTAATCATTTTCCAGGATTATAACCTAATAATTTTACAAACATATGTTTTCTAGAATAGATTCTTATGTAATTGCAAGTCTACGCTTGTCCCTATACTGACCATTAAAGTCAGCGAAATTTTTTTTTGAACTTTTCAAGTCACAAACATCTTATCTTGACTAGAAAAGTCTTCTTGAAGTGACTAGAGGGGCAATTGTATAATGAAACTAATTAAGATAAGATAAGATGTTGATTGGCTTAGCCAAAGGCTTACAAATTGATTCCCATTTTTTTTTAAAATATATTTTTCTTTTTTTTTTTTCTTTTCTTTTCTTTTCAGCTACAAATTCTTCAATAAAATAATATTACAAGCAAACTCAAAAATTTTTCTTTTTTTTCAATCATATATTTTCCATCAATCTACTTTTCTAAAATGCATTTTTCACATTTTAATGGAGCTCAAATAGGCTCTATATAAGAAATCATCTTGCAAACATGTGTTTGTACAATGCTTAGGTTGTAATTCTGTTACTACAATACAATCTAGGAAAAAGAATTATAACTAAATTCGCCATGGGATTGCATATGCTTTTGCCAAACCCACTTCTTTCTAACAATGCTGCTTATTTTTGCCTCAAAATCAGTTTCTACACAAAAATAATTTCCCAATAGCTAAGCCCAACTGCACTGATCATTGTGGAGATGTAAGTCTCATAATTTACAAAGTAGATTAGACAAATGGGAGAAGGCATTGGTGATAAAGCTATTGTCTGTCAAATAACGTTATAGAAGCCTCCTAAAAGTAGTGGCGGAAGCAGCATTTTGAGTTGGTGACACAATCAAATTAAAGCATTCGATAGTTTATTACAATTATTTTCTACGCATTCTCATAGTACAATTCGGAAGCTTTGTTTACTTCATAAACTGCAATTCATCCGCTAAAATTAGAAAGTTTTGACTGCAACATATTGTTCAATGTCATCTCTAATAATTTTTTCATCAAAACTCTGATGCCATTTCGTACAAAACAAATTGGCACACAAAAACACTCCAAGAGAAAAAGTTTATTTTCTTGAACAAATTAGTTTTTATTTAGCATACTTTCTCTTACAAGTGTTTCGATCTTTTTACCAACATAAATTTATACTTGTATAGAGAAATGCTTTTATTTAATGTGCACACACAAATCCAACATATAATTCATGTAACATTCTAGATGAATTTATGCACTCGAGATCTAATACATTTTATGTGTATTATGAATTCTATTAATATAATAGATTCATGATCCTTCTTCTAGAATCAATGGCAAATAGATTATCAATGTTCAATGTATCATCTTTAACATTCATAGCCTTTGTTTGAACTCCATTATTTGAAAAAAATTCATTTTGGAATAGTGTTTTTTGGATAATGAGTGGTTAAAAAGTAAAGAGAATTTTTGAGTTTATGTGTAATATTATTTTATTGAGAGAATGTGTGATTGATAAGAGGAGAGAAAAAAATCAATTAAAATTTAATGGGGGTCAAACATGGGGATAAAAAGTTTAGATAAACTTCCAACGTGGTCAATTTCAAAGGTATCAAGAGGTAAGCTTTCAATCTAAATACAATCAGCTTTAAAAATAAAAAATTGCCGGCAAAAGATTTTAAACTGAGCAAATATGGCTGATAAATCACAGATTCCCAAATCTATATGCATTACTTGACCAAATGACTATGAAAAAATCATATATTACACAAAATTACATGATTATATGCCCCATCAAAATAGCGCTTTCATGTATAGAGTGAATATTAGAGCATCTCCAACAGACTCTTTAAACATGAGATGCTCTCTATTTTAAAGAGTCAACCTGTAAAATCATGCTCCAATAGACTCTTTAAATTAAGATTTTAATTTAGAGAGTGGGTTTGGCTCTCCAAATTTGGAGAGCCAAACTCACTCTCTATAATTAAATGCATTCAAAAAGTTTCAATTTTCAATGTAGAAAAGCAATAAAATAATCTATAGAAAAACTAGTTAAAATAAAAGATAAAGAAAAATAATAAATATTTTTTGGGAATAGTAAATTTAAGTGTTAAATATAAAGAGTTTGTTGGAGTACATCAAAATTTTAACTCTTTAAATTTATAGATGCTCTCCAAATGATAGAATATGCTCTTTAAAAATAGAGAGTCTCTTGGAGATGCTCTTAGAATTAATAAAATATTATGCCTCAATAATGAAATAATAATAATAAAAAATCAACTTTCAGAAAATTGGTGGGTCAGGTGGGTCCGCCCATGCCTAGAATGGTCCGCCCACTAACTACTTCGAGAGGAGACTTTTCTATTCAACATAAGATGTTAGTGGCTTGCAAAGTTACATAAGAATCGGTACGGGCAAACGTGTGTATAAATAGTTCATGGGTTGGAGTCGGTTAGACTACAATAAAACCATGGGATTGCATTTGCATTTGCATTTGCTGCAAGCTCAATTACTTGTGTCAATTCTGCTTATTTTTGTTTCAAGATCAGTTTCTACTCAATCAAATTTCCAAATAGCAAAGCCCAACTGTAGGGATCATTGTGGAAATGTAAGTATTCCCTTCCCTTTCGGCACGAGGGAAGGCTGTTACTTAGACGAAACATTCTTAGTCACTTGTAATGAGACCCACTATGATCCTCCGAAACCATTCTTGGGAGACTCAAACATAGATATCACAAGCATATCCCTAAAGGGCCAAATGCGTGTCATGCAATTCATAGCAGAAGACTGTTATTCTCGGGATGGCACCAGAGTGTCAAATAATGAACCCTGGATAATAATGCCCGATGGATTCACGGTCAGTAATACTGCCAATAAGTTCTTTGTCATTGGCTGTGATACTGAAGCTTATGTATCTGGGAGCCTATATAACCGGAAGTACCAGACAGGGTGCTCTTCCACGTGCAACGACGAGGATGATCTGGTCGAAGGCTCGTGTTTTGGTTTAGGCTGTTGCCAGATGTCTATCCCGAAACAGGCATGGGAAGTTGAGGTGAAATTGAGAAGCTTTAATAATTTCACAAATGTGTCGTACTTCAATAATTGCAGCTATGGTTTTCTAACTGAGGAAAGTGGATTCACTTTCTCCGCAAGTAGTCTTTCCGACCTGAGGAATGTGGAAGAGCTTCCAATGGTGGTTGACTGGGCAGTTGGAGAACGAACTTGTGACGAAGCTCGAAATGACATTTCTAGTTATGCATGTAAAAGTGAGAAGTCCGAGTGTTATGAACCCGATAATGGTTATGGGTATCGTTGTCGTTGCCAGAAAGGTTATGAAGGAAATCCATACCTCGAAGATGGCTGTAAAGGTATGGCTATATTATCTTAAAAGTTCAAAAGTTCATAAATGATCTAGCACCATATTGTTCACTATATAATAAACAAGCTTTTAAATTCATTTTTCCTTCTTATAATTCTTATATTTGTTATGCAGACATTGATGAATGTAAGGATCAAACTCTCCATAACTGTGCAAAGCAATGTAATAACACACCAGGGGGGTTTAATTGTGTTTGCCCGAAAGGCTACCATGGAGATGGTAAAAAGGATGGACGAGGTTGCATTCGTGGTCAATCACTTGTCTTCAAAGTTGCTACAGGTTATTAGCCCCACTATTCCATGGGTGTAGATAAGTAATTCTAATTTTCTTACCCAACCCACCCACCACCCAAACGCTCAGACACACCTATATTCTCTGTTTAGGTGTGATATATATTTTATCTCAAAGCTAAACCTCCAACAGAATTCTGGCTAGTTATTTGGCTGACCTTGAATTTCCTCGTTACCAGATGTTGCTGAATGAGTAGTTGCTTTTAATATTATAGTTCCTTTCATACTAAATCACCTAAAACAATGAAGAAAATTGATATTTAAGTTCTCTAATTCTTCCAAGCTCATTTGTTTAACAAAAGGAGTGTGGTAATGAAGCTAACGTAAAATTTACATTACAGGGATTTCTCTAGGAATCACTCTTATTGTGCTTGCTATCTGGGGGTTATGCTCCGTACTCCAGGAAAAAAAGTTGGTCAAGATGAAGCGCACATTCTTTCTTCGAAATGGTGGACAATTGTTGCAAGAAAAACTCACCCGAAGAGAACAGTCGCCAGATGGAGCAAAACTATTCACTTCTACTGAGCTCAAGAAGGCAACAAATGACTTCCATGATAGTAGAATTGTTGGTCAAGGAGGCTTTGGCACTGTATACAAAGGCTTCTTATCAGATAACAGAATAGTTGCCATAAAAAGGTCCAAAGAAGTTGATCCAAACCAAGTAGAGCAATTTATCAATGAAGTGATTGTTCTTTCCCAGATCAATCACAGGAATGTTGTCAAGCTCCTTGGTTGTTGTTTAGAAACACAAGCTCCTCTGTTAGTTTACGAATTCATCAACAATGGTACCCTCTTCGAACACATACACAGCAAAGCAAAGGCGCGCTCTTTTTCTTGGGATATGCGGTTAAGAGTAGCTGCAGAGGCTGCTGGAGTGCTTGCGTATCTGCACTCAGCGGCTTCTCCTCCAATCATACACAGAGATGTCAAATCAGAAAATATTCTTTTAGACACTAATTTCACTGCCAAAGTTTCTGATTTTGGAGCATCAAGATTGGTTCCTATCGATCAAACTCAATTATCTACTGTGGTGCAAGGAACTTTTGGATATTTAGATCCTGAATACATGCAAACAAACCAATTGACTGGGAAAAGTGATGTTTATAGCTTTGGAGTAGTCCTGGCCGAGTTACTAACAGGAAAGAAGGCATTAAGCTATGACAGACCAGAGGAGGAGAGAAGTTTAGCCAACTATTTTCTCTCAACACTGAAGCAAAGCAACTTATTCCAAGTTCTTGATGATAATATTGTATGCGAAGGAAACAGTGAGGAGTTGACATCAGTTGCTATGCTTTCGAAAAGGTGTTTACATGTTAAAGGGGAGGATAGACCTAGTATGAAGGAAGTAGCTATGGAACTTGAAGGTCTGAGATTAGCAGGAAAACACTAGTGGAACCAAACAGAACCCAATGAAGAAGAGTCGGAATCCCTGCTTTCTGGGAAAATGAATGCCTTTGCAATTGCAAATGGTGAAGGCAGTAGCACAGCTATTGGATATGATAGCATGAGGGATCATATTATTTTACCTATGGGTGGTGGGAGATAATAATTAGCAATGTGGAGTGATGTTATATAGTACTAGCGAGATTGGCATTATATTGTTGTCGACTTGATTTATGATTTATCCTGTGTTTGTTTCTCTGTAAGTAATATATTTCTGTTGAGTTTATATATGATTTCTTATACAGTTATTCCTCAATTCCAGCGAGGAGTCAATAGCTCTCATTTGTCATGGATTTCTTCTTAGAATAGGCCATCAACCATTTGGTGTTTTATTTTAGACTTCAATGCACAATTTCCCAAACCATTTGCAAGTAATTCTTTCAGTACAACCAACAAAACTGCGATAGTTAGATTAGCTCATGGAGTTAAATTTTCTAGGACAAATAAATAATGTAATAATTCTAGTGTCTGACATGATATCAAACAATGCTTAATATCGTTTCAACCACTACTACTATTCGCTTTGTTCAAATTAAATAAGGGAAAAAAAAGAAAAAGCAAACGTTATACGAAAACGAGAAAAACTTCAAATTTATCATATAACTAAAAATGAGAAACGTATTCATTTTTATGAAAGAACTTAATAATTTGTAAGAGAGAAAAATTTCAGTGTATTTAATCAAATATTTCAATAGATGTCAGCTTAATTTACTTTAAATCAAACCATGCTTACAACATCAGTAGCTTTCCACATATGCCTCTCTAGACACGTTGAGGTGAAGAATTAAAAAAATTCGGCCCCCCTTTTTGGTCAATAAAGGACATGTTATGGAAACTGAAATAATTCAATATCAGTTTGTTGTGAGAAGATCAGATTAAGTGCAATATGAAGTAAAGATCACAAGCACAAGAACAAAATAATTTGAAAAGAATAGAGACTTTATTATAGTATGGAAAAAGAATACAAATATTACATGTTTACAAAATTTCTAACTTCTTCTATCTTCTACTAAAATACAATGAAGAGAGAACTATATATATGGAACAATTAGGAGATGTCAAAACCCTCATAGTAGAGTCGTAGATGAAATAGAATGTCAAAAATGAAGTCCAAAACAGAAAAGGAGACCAAAACAGCGTAAGAAGCAGAACAGGTGGCGCCGAGACGCTGGGCAGTTTTCTTCCGGCGCCGCGGCGCCCATTCTCGGGTCTTTTACTCCAAAAACTTAATTTTCTTTATTCCAAAGTTTTCTTCAAATCCAACACAAATTCTTACTCTCAAAGGGCTTCTAAGTAGAAATTCAATTAGAATTTCCCAAGAAAAATTGAATAGAATTTTACAATTGCATTCCAAATAGGCTTCTAATTAATGTAAACTTTACAACAAAGAATTTGGATCACATCCAAATTCTAACAGGACAAACAAATACTTGCAAACTTACACAAGAACCCATTCTAGAAAACATATTTTTAGGTTATAATTCTGTTATTAGAATACAATCCAGGAAACAGAATTTGGATACTTGTGCTTTTCTAGAATCCGACAACATTAAAGATGATTCAGTAGTCATCTATTTGAAGATGTAGAGTCTATTTCTCTAAGATTGAAACTTCGATGCTTTATAACACTGAATGAGATTTTGTGCTCACAGAATGAGAACTCCAGCTCCTAATCTTTGTTGTATATTTTCAAAATCGGCTAGCGAAGCTTATAAACAAATCTGTTGTTGGGTTTATTGATACCCAACAACAAATCTTGGACGGCTTTTATAGTTGGAGGCTCATTTGTTGGTACTTATTGGGCCACTTTACTTTGACCTAGAAGCCCATTATGGTTGGCTTATAATTGGGTCGGTTTTGTGTTGTCTTGCCCTAGAGTGAATTGATTATTCTTGGAGCTGTGAGTACGAGGGTTGAGAGAGAAGAGAGGTCTCTTGCTTTGTGCTAACTTTTCTTCCTTCTTCTCTTAGCCTTAGTGGCTAGTGGGCTGCCAAATATCATTCACCTCACTCCTTTGTGGAACTTGAAGCAACCGGTTTGGGTGGTTGTAGCTTTGGAGATTGGTTGTTCATTGGTGGTGTCGATTGGGTGGTTTAATCTGAGCTTGGTTTGTTGTTGATTGAAGCCTCAAATCTCCACAATGTCTATATTTTACTTTTGATTATTAGTGATTAATCAAGTAACTTAAAATACATGGTAAGAATATAATTAGCACATGGAGGATATTTCATTCCGTAATCAACGCTCTAATCACATAAGACTAAATAGTAAACG